GGCTCAGGTGATCCTTCCAACCTCAGCCTTCCAAGTAGCTGGAACTACAGGCGCGTGCTACCATGCCCGGTTAACTTTTTGATTTATTGTAGAGACGAGGTCTCACCAAGTTATCCAGGCTGGTCTCGAACCCCTGACCTCAGGCAATCCTTTCACCTCAATCTCCTAAAGTGATGGGACTACAGACTTGAGCTACCGCGCTAGGCAAAGCACTGTTTGTATCTGAATAATTTTTTAAAAATCTTTTAAGTTGTTCTAGTTATACATTTCTATATAACAAACAACCCCACAACTTAGTAGCTTCAAATTACAATAATCCTTTATTTTGCTCATTAATCTGCAATTTGGGCAGGGCTCTGTAAGGCCTGGCTCATCTCTGGCTTCATGACAACAGCGATATCACGCAACTGGAACTGAAAAATCTGCTTTCCAAGATGGCTCTGTAACGTGTTGGGTCTGATTGTGAAAGATGCTGGGCGAGCTCAACTGGGGTTGTTGGCCCCAGGGCCTTCGTTTCTCTTAGGTAGGCCTCTCCTTGGGGCTGTGTGGGCTTCCTCACAGCTGGGCACTCAGATTTCAACAAGTGTCCCAAGAAAAAGAAAGGTGCAAGTCTCTTAAAGCTTGGGTCTGGTAATTTGCAAAGCATCACTTCTGCCATGGGTCTAGCTGTCACAGGGCCTACTCAGATTTAAGGGGAGTAAAGTGTCAAAGAATTTGTGGCCATCTTTAATATGCCATCACACATCAGTATTTTCCAAATTTCCTTTAAAGAGTATTATTACAACTGGGAAAATGTGAAGTATCTTTAAAACACTTTTATTTTAAAAGTTGAAAACCCTTAATATAGAATATCTGATAATTCCAGAAAACTACTTAGAATAGGAAATTTCTCTAGTTTTTGCCCTTATAGCCCCTTCCCCAGCCACATACCTCTGAACACACATACACAGTCTCCTGTCTTCAGGCACTTCTCTCCTTGCCTGTTCCTCCTCGTAGTTCTTTGGTGAAGATGTTGACTAAAAATTAAAGTTAAAGTTATGGTGGTTTATGGTATGCCCCATAGTTTTCCGAAGGTATATGTTAACATTTCCTGATCTCCTCACATTCGAGAGACTGACAGATGAATGAGGCATACCACTTCTGAAGGTCTACTGACCCAGGCTGTATGAATACCTGTAAGCAGGTACCTGATTCCCTTCCTTTATCCTACCCCACTGACTCATTGGGTATTAAACGTTGAAGGGCTCAGAGTTACCTGAGATAGTCATGTTGATGCGTAAAATAGTTTCTCAAATTGGCTCAAGTCTCCTAATATTCATTCTTAAATCGCACTTATAAAAAGTGTCACTCTTGAATGCTGCCTTCATATGGGAGTGAAGCTGAATTCTTTAGTTTTTAATGGTACAGAAAGCTAAAAATCTTTCAAGGAATAAATATTGAGTTCTGATTACAAAGCAATCTGATAGATTGCCTAAGATTAAATGGGGGCCAGTGTGTTAGAGGTTTTAGCGGTCTGTTCTGTTTGGTAGTTTGTGTGTAAATGTAAGAGTTATATCCTGGTTTTCAAGTCTTAATGCGCCAATTTTAGACAGTTCTTTTGGGAGATGAAAGAGCTACCAGCTATGCCCAATATCCCAGTTGAATCAAATTTATAGATCGTCTTTACACAAAAATGTACATGAGTATAGGCAAAATAGGCTGCATAAGATTTGAGAGAGTTCACAGACACTCTGCCTAGGTTAAGAATCCCCATGGTAGAGATATCTCGGATCTTTATTTTCTCAGTGTCCTATAACCTTAATGGTACCAAGTCCAACAAGACAGAAGGCAAGTGCCTTAGGATGTCATGGTGGCTTAGGACTTGCTGTGCCATGTCAGGAACAGCACAGACAATCCTGCTTCTTCCTCAGTCTACCTCATGACCCAAATAAGTCCCAACAGAGAAGTGGTAAGGCAGCCCAGGCACAGACTAACCTTTGGTGCGAATGATCTTCCTTTCCATCTGCTACGCAGAAGCACTTCCTACATCTTATTCTCATCCCATCCTTTCCTCATACTTGCCTGTTTCTTTCCCTCCTTTTACCAAAGCAATAGGGCTAGGGTCTAGGGAATACAAATGTGACGAGAACATGGCCCCTCTCATTCATTAAGTTTATTGAATATTCAAATTTATTGAGCCCAATGCTCTTTAGTTTTTACAATCTGCATCCTAGTGGGGGAAAACACACACACGCCTGGCCCACAAGTAATTCACAGGTACACAATTATCAATGCAACATAAAAGGAGGCTATTGCAGAGGGATATGTAAGCAACTATGGGAGCAACCATGGGAGCACCTGCCTGGAAAGGTGAAATTGATCCTGATTTCTCAAAACAAACAGGGATTTTCCAGCCAGATCAGGGTGGAAGAAGGGACCACATGTACAAAAAGACATTCAGGTGCCAAAGAACATGGTATTGTGTGGGTTCAATGTGTCTGGACCTCAGAAGCATATGTCAGATCAGCAAGAGTTAAAGCAAGGAAGACAGGGAGAGGCCGAATCCTGAATGTCCTCGAGTGTCACATAAATGAATTAAAGCTACTGACATAGGGCCTTCGGAAGACTCCAGACAAAAGAATTAAATGACAGGTTTTGATTTTTAGAAGGCTAACTCTGATGGCAGAATGAAAGATGGAGTAGATGAGGACCTAATAAAAACCAAGGAAATTCATTGGGAGGCGTCTCTGAGTGGTGCTGGTGAATGCTCAAAGAGGGTCTAAATTCTAGCAGGGGAGGTAGGGAAAGAGGAAAGGCAGATGTGTGAGATTAAGAAGGAAGTATGGGCAGAAATTGACAAGTAACTTAATGGAGTGGAAGTGGGGAGGTGAGGGAGGAGTCATTTTGATGACTTCCACTTTCTTCTTTGAACAACTAGAAATGTAGGTGATCAAATACAAGTTTCTATGGAGGAATATAACGAGGCCTGAGAGACATGTGGAGTGTGAGGGCCCATATGGAATAACCAGCTGGCTCATCCTGGTAACAACACAAGGTCAAATATATACCTGCTCTTTGTCCAGTTCTGGCTTTAAGCTCCTCCCTCACCAAATTCAAAACTGAAATTTGCATGTGTACTTTGCCAAGCTTCTGTGGAAAAATAATTCTTTATGAAACTCTCTAGAGTGAGATAGAGCCTCTCAAACACAAAAAGGCCCTTACTGAGGGTAAAAATAAGAAAAATCATCTTCGTGTGAAATTTGCCTTTCTCTCCCCTTACATCATAGCAGACTTCGCCAAGACCACTATGATCAAGTTTTTATTCCTCCCCAATCCTCCACTGCAACTTTTGGCTGTACAAGACGAATACTTCCATATGGTGCAATGTTTATGTTAAGATGGGGAAAGATGTGAGATGCTTTCAGTAAATTTTATCCAAGAAGCAATAAATTTATAAATCCTAAGCAGCTGGAACAAAATATTGGTCCGTAATTGGTTTTGGATGAAGTCTATTTCAACACTTCATTAGAAATAGGAATAGAAAACTTGGGACAGTGTTAATTACTGATGTTTAGAGATCTTGGATGTCTTCATATAGCCCGCCTTAGCTACAACCTCAGAAAGACTATTGGACAACTTGAGCCTCTTTTACCTCATCTGTAAAATGGGTTTAGTAATGTTGCCTACTCATGGAGTTTTTGTGAGGATTAAATCAGCTAACACAAGGACTTGGAATAGTACTCATCATATCCTAGGCACTCAGCAAATGTTAGTTCTTTCTCTCATAACCTGTTACCTAGAGGCTAAGTCACAAGGGAAAGGTAATGGGATGAGGATGGTGGTAGAAGGGAAGAAGGACAGAGAAAGTGTACAAAAATGAAGTGGTTTAGGATTTATCTATAGATGAATGCCCACTGCCATTTCAGAATCTTCAGACACAGGAGTGTTGTGTGAGTGTGAGCAGTTGTTTAAAAAAGATTTTGTGAGAGGCAGGAGAGGTTATGTGAAGTCTGAAGGACCAGGAACTTTCTGACATACTTTCTGGATCATCAATCACTTTTATAATAATTAAATTCACTAGGACAAATAAGAGCAGGAAGGCAGAAAGGAAGTACCAGAAGTACTGAATTGTCAGGAGGGGATTATTTTACATGCACAAACTACCCCTCAACTATGTGAAACCAATCCAAAGAATTTTCTTCTATTGACTCATTATTATTTTGGACAAATTGCCAACTTATTTTTTCATTTTCTAGTTATAAAAGGATAAAAACTTTTTAGAATAATTTTTAATTTCTTCTACTTATATAACTCTTCCATTGACAAAGCATTTCTGTACCTTTCTAGCTTAATACCAATAAAAATCAGGCAAAGTAGATATTAGCCCTATTTTAAAACAGCAAATATTTAGTATTTATTGTGTGCCAGGTACTATGCTAAATGCTCTATGAGGCATGTCCCATTTAACCCTTCTAACAAACCTGTGAAGTAGGTACTACTGCCATCAGAGGCTAGAAGAGAAAAGTTTAATAATCTTCCAAGGTGACCCCAGAGTAAAGAGTAAAGCCAGGACTTGTGTGCACATTGGTCTGACTTCAAAGCCCACCTCTAACCACTATATTCTGCTATTGAAGAATAATCAAATACTTGTTCTTTCCTAGTATGGCAATGCTTTTGGTTTGAACTCAGCCTAATTATTTACAGTGATGCAAACAACTGTTGTGAAATTATACAAAAATATTAAACTTTTTAATCTCTATTTCTATATTACGTTCCTAGAATTGCTCAAGACAGATGCACATCTCACTGTACATTTTCCCCACTAAGGTTATGAATGTACAAGACCAATAATTGTTGAATAACATTTCCAAATACCTAAGGTATTTGGTAATAGGTTAAGAATCTGCTTCTTGTTTATTTGTAATACAGTTTAATTGCTATAAGTAAGAAAATGTAAGCAAAATTTTAGTGAGGGGTAGCTACCAATGTTTTCAATGGTTCCATAAAGAAAAGAACAAAACTTGTTCATAAAAATGTATTTTTTTTATTTCATGAGCATTAAAAAAAAACAACAACCGCCCAAATCTCTCCACCTCATGCAAACAGCTCTCCAATTAGATTTTTCAAATTTTACGTTTTTTCCATTCTGGTTCATTCTTTGCTTCCTCATCATCAGATTCAACTGGGGCAAACATGGTTTTGGGCTGAGTCCTACAAGAAAAGTTAAAGGAGGAAAACTTAGTCAGTAAGTGTTTATTATATTAGACTTTACTTTTGTCATCAAGTGGGAGCAAATGTGGGGAATCAATTACATCTTAATCATTAAATACAAATCACTAAAACATCTCAAGTATTGAATATAAATCGTTAAACTTCTGGCAAAGAAAAGGATAAAGGAAATTTAACTATGTTCAGGAAAAGAACCAAAGAGTCTTTTTAAAGTTTTCCTTCTGTGGCAGACTGTGTATACCGTCCTTCCCTTAAATAAAATGAAAACTCATCAAATTCAGTGAAACCTCACACATTGTAACCACCCTCCACCTCAAATTCAGGATAATTGGGACCATTTGAAAAGCAAACTATAGTCACTGAACAAGAATCCATATAATCTTTATTTATAGCTCCCTGGGTTGTCCCTAGACTTAAGTAATCCAAATACATGTAATTATGGTGTACCTAAATAAGAGCATTTGAGCTAGTTTTCTTATCTAATCAATTTGAACCTGCAAAATTAAATAGATAGAGAGTTAGATAGATAAAAACGAGCATTTCCTACAGCCCCACACTCAGGCGAATGCATGGAAATACCAAGCATTTTAGGACACATCACAGTATGTAGCTGTAATATTGTCATATGGTCATATGGTATCCTTGCTGAAATGCTGCCACATGGTACATCAAGCACTCTTTGCATGAGGAACTTCTGTGCCTTGTAAACATACCTGGTTCAATGACATTCCTTTTTATACCACTTACACAGAAAATAATTCCAAGGAAATGTCAAATGGTTATAATGCATAATGTCCCTTTTTGTCATGCTACTGCTGATTTCCCTTTAAAAAACAGTTCTATTCCATTATGAAGAACATTAAAGCATAGTACCTGAAGATTATTTATTTTGATTTATATGTTCACTTAAGGTTCAATTCAGTATACTAAGGCAATTCCAAAATGATAAAAATAGTAACAACATAATTCTTTTTATTTGGTAAGTGAAGCAGGGTTATAACTTCATATTATCTCTTGCTGTTTCTTTATTATCCTGAGGAAGAAGTATAAACAATCCACAATTCATGCTGATGTTGTCTGACAAAAGTCATTTACTGGAATTCCTTGTGCGGAAGTTAGTTACCATTCCTGTCTCTCCAGTTACCTCACATACCTATCTAGAGCCGAAGCTGTCCCCATACACAATCCAGTTGGTTAAACTTCTTACTGTAACTTCCAAGACACTATTATGACATCTAAACACAGGTAGTGTCATAGTTCTAACATTTCAAAAAGCAGCTACAGATTTTCATTGGCCATGAGTTGCTGAATTCCTAGAAAGCAGACCACTGGCTTTCTAATATGCTACAACAAGGCAAGTGGTGCCTGTTACATATTTTATCTTCTGGCAAAGATGCTGACCACTCAGGTGTGGACAAACATATACAGAAACAAATCGTCTAGTTTAAAGAAATCCTTTGAGTCACACATTTAATTTCTAAGGGGAAAAAAGACACGACCTTCCAAGGATATTTGGCAATGCTTCATAAAACAGCAGCTCATCAATGTTAGTTTTAATGAGATTTAAGTACTATACTAAGAAACTGCAGTGCTATCTTTTTGGATATGAAAAAGTATGTTGATAGCAGCTCACAGAGAAAAACCTACAGCCTGAAAAGACAATTTCATTTAAGGGATTACTTTTTAATATACTACCTACCTCCAAAAGCATTTGTAACAGGTTGGTGGCTAACATTAAAGGGCACAAAATCAACAAAACTATTTAACAACAGCTAGAAAGAGAGTAATGATTGCAAAGAGGCACGAAGGAACATTTTGGTGGGATGGAAATGTTCTATAATTTTGACATGGTGATGATAAAGGTTTATGCATTTGTCAAAACTTGAAATGTGTTTTTTATTATATGTAAATTATACTCCAATAAAGTTAAGTTGCAAAGAAAATCAAAACAAATAAGTAAAAGATCAAGAAACGAGGAATAAAAGGGTATATAACTAAACATTAAACTTAGCCTGAATTTTCTAGTCAAGACAAAAGGGGGAAAAAAGACAAATATTAGCTTTTCAAAGGAGACATCTTTTATTTTCATTTCCTACCTAACATTGGACTCAGTGAATTCACTGAGGAAATGTTTACATCAGGGTCATTTAGACAGTCACTTCCAATGACTATACCACAACAACTTCCTTGACCCTCACCAGAAATTAAAATTGAATAAGTACCAAGTTTTGTTTGGAAGTAGGATGCCTGTTTTTTTGGCAACTATCAAACAAAACAAAACAAAAACAGAAAATAACAAGTACTGACCAGAATGTGGAGAAACTGGAACCCTTGCACACTGTTGATGAAAATGTAAAGTGACACAGATGCTATGGAAAACAGTATCATGGTTCCTTTTTTAAAAAAATTACCTGGTGACCTAGCAATTCCATTTCTGAATATATACCCTCCAAGACTGAAAGCATCTGTCTTGAAGAGATACTTGTACACCCATGTTCACGGCAGCATTATTCACAAGTGCAAAAGGTAAGAAGCAACTCAAGTATCCAGTGATGGATAGATAGCCAAAATGTGCATATACATCTAGATGAAATATTATTCATCCTGTAAAAGAAAATTCTAGTGCATGCTACAACATAGATGAACCTTCAGGACAATATGCTAAGTGAAACTAGCCAGTCACAAAAAGACAAATACTGTATGATTCTACTTATCTGAACGACCTAGAGTAGTCATGGGTGGAGGGGGGAATGGAGACTTGTTCAATTAATAAGAGTTTTAATTCTGAAAGATGAAGAATTCTGGAGATTGGCTGCACAACAATGTGAAAGTACTTAACACTACACTGAACTGTAGTACACTTAAAAATGGTTAAGATAGAAAGTTTCATCTTATGTGCATTTTACCAAAATTAAACAGTAAAACTGTTTTTTTAAAAAAAAGAACTACAAAAAGGGCTTGCCAGGGCAGTGCTTCTCAAAACATCTGTGGTGCAGGGCCAGTCTTTGTCTTCCAATATTCAGTCTCTTGCAAATATTATATTTCTAGAAAAATAAAAAGACTACAAAATATAATCCAAATATTCATTAGATTTAACGATATATCAAATTGCTATAAAATGTCCTAAGTGCTACTCTCAATTCCTACACTTACCTCATCAGCAATGGTTGGTGGGCCACCCTGAGTAGTAGCTTTATCCCTCTCCTTGCTTGGGTAAAGGAAAAACGCAGAGCTTTTAAACAAAGCTATGGAGTAAGAATCTGTCTTCTCAACACTAACTTTGAAACATGATGAGCTTACTCCAACTGCGGGATAATATTTCTCATATCTGGAAATGCTGGCCCCATAAGATGCTATTGGAGACTTGGTGAAGGCATGAGATTTGGGTTTGCACTCTCAGGTTATTCAAAAAGTGGTCTTTGATTTTAGGGAGTTAGACATGGGAAAGTGAAGGGAAGTGTGGCCTATAGAAGGAATTTTCTCTCATTCCAATCCATCCTGCCCTCAAAACCAACATTCTTACAGCATAGTTCAGAACCTTTAATAAAAACTATATGTTGTCTGCTGAATAAAGACTAGGTTCTTCAAAACAGATTATTCAACTTTAGCACATTGAACATCTCTAACTGGCCTAAGGAACGGCAGTGTTTTGTAGGCACACAGTGAGAGAATCATAGCTTTAAACCTTGCAGTTATTCTTTCTTTTCGGCAATTTTTAACTTTGAATTTATTTCCAGCAGTTATTCTTTTGAAAAAGTTCAGAAATCCACATATGAGAAATATTTTAAAAATTCAACTCAGGACTATCTAGGACATTTTAAATGGATTTCTTTAGTCACCACTTTATCAAGACAATGAGGAACAGGGATGATTAGGCAACCTCTAGCAAAGTTAGGAATAGAACTGGGAGATTTCTTCCCAGGGGGATGGCCTAATTTGCCCTTGGCATAGAAAACTACTATAAAAATAAATCAACAATGTCAAGCAAAAGAAAAATGACACATACAAAAAGATAAAATGTTAATGGATATGAAAACATTTAGAAGCTGGTTCAGAAATTCCTGCTTTTAAAGCCAGCAGGAAACAAATAAAAACAACAACAACACACCCTCTAAGTCTCTTATCCACAAAAATGGATTTCTCTTCTGGGCTACTGGAAGAAATGGAATTTGTACAATTTGATGTTAACATAGACTCTGTCGGGTGCTTCCAGAAAGAAGAGTAAAGCAAACCAAATGGACACTGAAGATATGGCAGCAACTCAAGAAACACACATATAAATAAATAATATGCTAGTAATATATTTCACCATTATCAGAAAGCATTTCTATTACCCACCCATTCCTTGTCTTCTGTTTAATCAATTCCTTCAGAATTCTGTACCTCATTTCTCAAGACAAGAAGTTACCAAGTTCAGATTATAGCCTAACGGCAAATTTATCTCTCTTGCCCAAAACAAAAGCCTATGAAACGACTGACTTGAAGGAAAAGTAGCACATAAAGGGAACATTCCATTCAACCAAATGTGGGAGCTCAGCAGGTTAATGGAGATCTAATGAGCCTTACTGGAGAACCAGCAAAGTATCTACTTTAATGAAGTCAGCTTTGTCCAGACTATCTCTTTTAGTGGTTTGTGGCCTACAATTACCCATGTTTCTGAGTGTTAACTTAAACCCTAAATTTGCAGAAGGCTGGTGTGAAGCTTGCCTTTTCCAGTTTGATTAATTCATTTGGGGAATAATAAACGTTTTTCACTTGACATTGTATGCCGACTTTTTTTTTTTTTTTTTTTTTTAAATAATTAATCAGTATTTTTATTATAGTTTTGTGGGGTACAGTTAAGGGTTAGGTGTACAATTACGTTTCATTCAAACACCCTGTTGATAAGAGGTGTTTTCCCAGCCCCAAACAGATATTTGCTACTGTTAATCCCCTCCCCCTCCCCCCCATAGTTTCCCAGTACCGTCAGTCATTTTGTTATA